CAATCCTACTGAAATCACAGGTATGGAGGATTCAAGGTGTGATTTAGAAAAACATTTGAATTTCTTCTGGCTGAAAAAACTTTGAGGTTGCCAGCCTCAGGCAGGGTGACCGCATGTTTTGCTGTGTCAGAGGCTAGTGCAGTGCACAACAGAAGCTCATGTAAAACAATCTCTGCAGATTCAGAAGTGCACAGCTTATCATATACTTTAGCTCCCTGAAGCTCCTTTAGTTTCAGTAGAATCTAATTTTGTAAGAACAGCTTTCTTGGAATTCAGTTAAATCAGTTAAATATCAGAAGAAATCTACTAGCTAATGCTTAGATTTTCAGAAGAGCCTAAGAGGGCAAAATAATCCAGTCCTACTGAACGTGAATTTGAAAATGCCAACCTAAGCTTTTGTGATAATTCTCTTACATTTCTCAATCCTTCTTTGAAGCATTTCCCTTGCTGCCTAAATATGTTTACTTGCTTTTTGTAGTGTGTCCATTTTAATGAAGTACAGACTGATAAATATGGAAAGAAAGTCTGCTCTTTGTTTCCAGCTCTGAATGGATGTTGCTGTTAATGGAAGTTGTCTGCTTAATTCCCTTCAAACTGCCCTGAGAACACATCCTAATTGTTCAGTAACAATAACCTATTGGTGCTATGGCATTTCAGGTTTTCAAAGTATTCTCCATCGTGTTTGGGGGAAGAAGGAAGTGTTGAATCTTAGCTGTTTTGTTGCTCAGACTTTTATTTTGTTGTTGTAACTTTTCACCAGCAAATAAGGTATCATTCTGGCATTAGCTCCATGCAGCATAAAGAACCCTGGCTTTTCCTCTATTTACTTTCTGTAGTCCCAAAAGCCTCCTTGAAATTGATGGACAAAGAGAGAAACGCAACCAGATTATTTTTATTGACTGTTTTCAAGTCACAGGTCAAAGCGAGTGGTACTTGCTGAAAGCTTGTTCTCACTGTGCTGCAAGGAACGCCTGCCTGCTTCTCACACGGTTGTCTCTTGTGCTTCCTTCCACAGATCCCTTGATAGCTGTGACTCTCTGAATCAGTCTACAAAGTCCCTATCTTGTTTGCATAGAAGCGTCTTTGTCGTGTTTTGTTAGAAGATAGCCCATTTTCTCCTTTCTTCAGCTGTGGATAAAGATTATTACCATTTCTAGCAACAGCAATTAAAGCTGCTGCTAATTAGAATGCATTGCTTTGGCACTGACTTACAATAATGTTGGTCATGGCAGGTTCCTAGCTGTGTCTTGATGAAAAAGTTTGTTCTTTGACACGTTTTCACTCCGTGCTTGATCCACAGGCAGGAGAAGGTGTGCTGTTGACTTCTTTAGACATTGGTTTAAGGCCATGGTGATATTTCACATATAAATGCAAAATTCAGATGTGTTCATTTCCTAGCAGTACTCCATTGTAGGTGGATATATTAGATGACAACACTAGTGAAGATAGATAGTATGACTGCTTTTCCTGTTCAGCCCACACTTTGTGAGTTAATCGAGTATTGTAATGACCTATTTTTGCATCTATTAATGTGAGCCAGAAATTAATACAGAGTTTGACATTTCCATTTTTATCTTGGCGTATTTACAGCACTAAAAAATATTGCTCCTTTTGTTATTACTCTTTGTATTACTCATTGATATTATCAAAACACAAACAGCTCTGAAAATAATGCCCTGACTAACGGTTTTCAACAGAGGAAGAACATCTATTTTGTACGTTATTGGTAAAAAAATAGCAGTTTTTATTATTTATTACTAGTTAAGCTAAGTACTGTAGCATCCTCATTTGAAGTGTGCTTGCACTTCTGCATACGAAGAGTTCAGTCATGTCTTTCAGTCCTTACACAGTCAAGTGGGCATGTTTGCAAGCAGAGCTGGTTTTCCATGAATTAAACATGCAACTATCCTAGTATAAACTTAACCTGAATTCCAGGATATATTTTCAACCTAACTTCAACAATATCCAGATGCGTTTCAGCATGTTTTTCTAACAGGTCACTAGAATCCATTTAAATAGTTAATATTTTATGGCTTCTTTGTACTTTTTAAGAGACACTTGTAGTAGGATATGCATATTTCATTCCTCAAGACTTCTATTCCCCCTTGTTTTTAAAAATATGTCCATGTCCTTGAGTAAACACTTACGAATTTAATGTTAGTACGACATCTTTGCTAAAAGCTTGATTGCTTTGTTTCTGTTTGAGTGGTTCAATCACTATCATACGTGTAGGAACTCTGATTACTAATTATGAATTTTTATAACGATTTGTCTGCCCAACATTACTGTCTGTGATTTGAGAACTCCACTTGAATAGCCAGCTTCCAAAATAAAGCTGTTGCAAATAATTGACCTTTCCAGACTTTCAATTGCTTTTCAAGTGAAGTAGGGAATCTTTTGTCCCACGTGACACTTTATAGAGAGTCTCGATCTTACTTTTCCAAAAGTTGCGTCACAGTCTTGCCATGGAAAGAGCATGTACGTAGGCACATGTATGAACCTCACAATACATTAAAGTAAAAAACCACTGCTCTGCAGTTAGACAAAGGACAAAATATAGGTGTTGCTAAAGTGGCAGGAGGACGCGTGGAATGCATGACAACATAAATTTGTCCTTTTTTCCCCAGTTATTTGAATTTCAAAACTAGATTTGTTTATTTATTCGTTTTATATGTAACAACTTATTTCTTTCTTAGTTCCTAAGAAAAGCATATTCCAAATTCTAATCCAAGGGTTTAATAAATTTTAGGTCATATGTTAACCTGTGTTTGCCAAGAAGAAAATGAGGGTTTGTAGATAGTTACTGCTGCTCAGCTAGTGAGCAGTACCACATTAAGTCAAAGCAACCTCTCCTCTGTAGAATAGGGATAATTACTATTTTGATGGGAGCATTTTGTAGATTGAATGTTCTAATGTTTCTGGAAGTTTTTGATATAGCCCAGTAAGATGCTCTCTAGATGTGCAAAATGTTCTTTACACTCGGAGCTGCTAGTTTTCCAGAAACCTGATTATATACACCTGCTGCTTGTTTCCAGTTGGGGTTGTTTCATTCTAAGGATTTGTGTCATGGAAGTTCTTCTGTGAATGTAATCTCACCCTCTTCCATCAGTGGAACAAATGGCCTTTGAAGCGTTGGTTCACTTAGTGCTGGAGGTTTAAATACTTGGTTTAAACACTCCGTTCATGCCAAAGTATGTCAGTATGGAAAATATACAAGACATCCTGCATGTGGTCCCATTATGGATTAAAGAAAATGGAAAACAATTCAGAAGGAAAGTAACTAGAATTAGAGTAATGCTTTCCGTGCTTTCCTCACATTCTGTCTGAAAGCTCCTATGTAACCTGTTCGTTTTCTCACCTTTATACAGCAAGTTAGCCTTGCCTTTGAATCCTAGTCAGCATGCAGTAGGTTGAGTATTTTTGTTATTGAACGTCATGCTGAAGTTTTTCCTCCCCCCAGTTCTCCCTCTACACAACGCACAATAGCCTGTGCTAGATCCACATGTAATTACACACCCAGAGCTCCAGGCTAGTGCAGTGATTGAAGTATGCTTTTTTACAACGCAGCGGGCAGCTGTAAATCATATTGTGGGTATATGATGTTGGCCTAGAACCTATATAATTTAGGAATTGGTTTGGGTTTGTTTTCTTGCTGCCACACCTCAACTGGGCCATATGTTTTTGTCTTCAGCGTTATTGTTTTCTGAAGGAATTGCTTGGCTGAAAACCTAATGTGATTTTGACTACATGTTTAGGTTTGTAAAAGTATGTTGCAAGTGAAGACTTAGAGGGTCTTCAGCTACTACACCTGCATTTGAAGAGCCTATTTCTTTAGGGCCTTAAAATTTTTTGTCTTTAAGATACGGTATGCTTTAGAGAAACTTCCTTATAATCTTTTTTCCGTACTGCCAAAATAATAACTCTCAGACATATTCACATATGATGTGAGAATTCCATCAGCGTTAGTTTAGATACCTCATTTTCCGTACATGGGGCTCTGACGGCTCATTTTTCTTCGATGAGGCGACCTCAGACTGAGGCTATTGATTCTCTGTGTCTTTGTACATAAGACAGTCAGCCTTCTTTTTTTAACCAGGAATATCAGCCTCTTTCCTTCATCTGAAGTTTAGTCATAAAAAAGCTTATACACAAATTATGGATAGGCGTTTCAGTACAGGACTCCAGTAAAAAGGTTTTTTCCAAGATTCTCATCGCTAATTCTAGTTAGCTTAGAAAGATGGTTGCTTAAAATAACTGTCACCTTACACTCCTTTCATTCAAAGGATCACAACCTATTAAGAAATAGAAATGAAATCTTTTCTGTGCTGACTGTGTTACAGGTGCTCCACTGAGAAATTGCTATGCATCCGTGTTTTCATGGCTTGACAACAGGATGGATAGGGCTTTCCTTTTTTAAACACTGCTAACCCAAGCTACGTTAAGAATCCATCCCTCTCATGGAGGCTGTCAAATGGTTGCTTTGGGTACTGCCCACCACAGTGCCACAGCTGGGCTGCAACTATATTTGCAAGATATTTTGGGAGCTGTAGCAAGATTTGATGCAGACCTCACAAGGTTCACAAGGCAGTAGAGCAGACGCTTTTCACTACAGATATACTGACCTTAGAAAGCTTCATAAGAAGTGGCTCAAGCTGACAGTCCTGCTTAATATATGTATATATTTATATATGTACATACAGAGTGCTATCCTTACTGTTTCAATAGGAAACCCAAATTCGGGTTGCCAGTGGCTCCCACCTGGCACTGGTTTGTATGGTCCGTAACACAGGCGAGCGGAAAGCATGAACGTACTGGGGCACGGAAGAGTGTGCTAAGCCAGCTGGGCTGTACATATAGGGAGTGGTACGTGGAGGTCTGTGCTAAGGGCTGTACATATAGGGAGTGGTACGTGGAGGTCTGTGCTGGGCTGTACGTATAGGGAGTGGTACATGGAGGTCTGTGCTAAGGGCTGTACGTATAGGGAGTGGTACATGGAGGTCTGTGCGAAGGGCTAGCAGTGCTGAACTCATCCATGGCATGGAGGTCTGTGCTAAGGGCTGTACGTATAGGGAGTGGTACACGGAGGTCTGTGCTAAGGGCTGTACGTATAGGGAGTGGTACATGGAGGTCTGTGCTAAGGGCTGTACGTATAGGGAGTGGTACATGGAGGTCTGTGCGAAGGGCTAGCAGTGCTGAACTCATCCATGGCATTGCCCGAAGTAACGACATTGAAGATCGTGCATCTGTGGGTGCAGTGTGTGCGGTGAATTTAGACTTGGGAGTGAGCTGTAGCTTGGCTTGAAATCCACTATAAATACAGCCCTGGTAGTGATGTAAGTTTGTCTAAATAATAGTTGCAGCAGTAAGTACTTTGGTTTATAAACATATATAGATATCTATGCACGTATATATATATTTTAATTACAACCCTAGTCCTAGTATAAAACCTGCATAGAACATCCCTGACCTGTAGAACAGAGGAGGATCTCACAGAAACAGATGGCAGGAAAGAGCTTGGACTTGGAACCCATCATCTTTCTGTAGTTATTTCAGTATTTCTGTATGTTCATGTTTGATGCAATTATGTCTTTTTCCATTGCAGTAATTTGCTGGCTAACTCCTTTAATTGTAACTGTCATTTGGCCTGGCTGGGGAAATGGTTGAGGAAAAAGAGAATTGTCAGTGGAAATCCACGCTGCTTGAAACCCTTTTTCTTAAAGGATATTCCAATCCAAGATGTAGATGTCCAGGACTTCACCTGCGATGGTAAGAAAATCCAATTCAATTTGGCATTTATGATAATGTTGGCACCTCTGTGAGGACCTCCCTTCCTATCAAACAATACTGCATGGGAAACAGTTTAGTGATGAGGAAGACAGCGTTCTAGAGCTGAAGATCATTGTTCCCTATCAGGAGTTTATTTTTATTCTTGATTTCCAGTTTCTGAATTTCTACTATCTACACCTAAATATAAGAATGAATTTATTATAGACAAAGGCTCTGCTTTGTATAATCCTAGTATAATCCTGGCCCTTCCTTCCATTTCCTTATTCATACACTTAGTTAACACTCTGAAGCCAGGGGTAGTGGTGCTTGCTTGGAAAGTCTTAGTTTTGGATACTGTTCAGTTTCATCAATAACAGGTATGAATACAGGGAAATAAAAAAAAAAAACCCTTAGATATTATTTGAAATGACTCAATGATTCTTAATGGTTTGCTGGGTCCATATAGGTTAAAAAAAAAACCAAACAAACCTGAAATTTCTTTTGCTCTCCAGCTAGTTCTTTGTCTTCTGATAGAGCAGATTTTAGAGAAAATAATAAAGAGAAAAATTGACTGATGAATGCACTGCTAACTTGACTTGTATGCTTTTAAGACCAGATATGCTGGAGCTGCAGTTAGTCATACCTCTAAAGAGACCATAAGAGTGACAGAAGTTTCCTACTTAGAGCAGAAATTAATTCTGGTCCTATTTCAGCAATCTGGCAACAGGCCCAGGTGCCTGGACTCCAAGCTCAAGGGACCCAAGTTTAGTCATTCAAGAATAATTTGCTTTTAGTTTGGGAGAAAAAAAAAAAAAAAATCCTGGTCCACAAAATGACATTCCACACCTGGGAGCTTTCTCTATCACACAGTCACTCAGACAGCCATGGTGAATGGAAGGTCGATGGTAGCTGGGTGTGAAACACAGAACAGGGGAAAATTGAATATGCTGAAGAAACATGCTCTTTCTGCAGGTTTATGAAAGACTTTGAATTTTGTTTCCAGTCATTAAGCTCATTAAGCTCAGCTGGGGAGAACAAGAAGAAAAATCTTCCCTGTTCTGTAAGCTGGTCGTGCTTCTCCATCCCTCTGAATACAAATGATTCCCTGCCCGTACATTTATGGGTAATTCTGTTATCTTGTATCAGGACTTCCAGTCTTATTCTTTAATCTCAATGCTCACGGGTACATCCAGCAGCGAGAAGAAAGAAACAGATCTGTCTCAATTAGTCCTTGCATCAGTTTAGAAAAAAAGAAGGCAGCACATAATGACAGCTGTCTCTGTGCTCATGGGTTGCAGCACTGTGTCTCTGTACTCAGGCTGCCTGTACTCACAAACAGTTGTGCGGTTCCTCTCACTGTCATCTGGAGAACGTGCCACTAAGTGTTTCCTTTCATACTCATCGTGATACCGTAGTATGCATTTGCCTTATGTTTTGCAAAGCCTGTTGCTTTTGGGGAAAATCCATGTTTTAATGTTCTTAACTTCAAAGAGTTGGTTTCTTCTGCAGAAACCCTATTGTTCTTCAATTACAAGATTTAATCTGCTGTTTATGGACCTTTGAATCCATTTTTGGAGAAAGTAGATATTTTTATGTGTGCACAGATGGATTGCCAGCAGTTGGAAGTATGCTGCTCATTTTGTTGTTTCCCTGGTTATCCTTGTCAAAAACAATGAGGCTGTACAATTCAGAAAATAAATGAAGAGCCAGACGGACTTTAAAAAGTAAAAAATTAACATCTAAAAGCTGAATTTTAAGAAACTCTTCCTAAAGCAGAAAAGATTGTGAATATCGTCTGTCTAGATGAATTTAAGGGCAATGTTCTGGTCAAGTTCTCCATTTCAGCTAGTACATTGGGGGTGGGGGGAGGATTTGGGATTCATATAACTGATTTTACTGTAATTTGCAAAATTACAGAGAAGTAAATGCTACTTAGAAAAAAATATTTATTTAAAAATATTGCTGTTCAGTTTTTGAACTGATGTTCCTGTTGCCTGAAGAACCTGTATGAAGGCAGGTTGATCCAAAGCGTTCGATCTACCTTAAAATATTGTGGTGGTTACCGTGGATTCAGGGGTGTCCCTCCTTGGTCCTTGTAAGCAGTTATCTTCAAAGTGCATCACTCTGGGCTGTAAAGCTGACTTCCTAATACGCCGTTTCTCTTCCTCTGCAGGTAACGATGAAAGCAGCTGCTTGCTTTCACCCCCTTGTCCTTCCCAGTGTACCTGTGTGGACTCAGTGGTACGTTGCAGCAACAAAGGGCTGCGGATATTGCCCAAAGGAATTCCCAAAGACGTGACTGAGCTGTAAGTTACCTTTTGCATGGCTCCTTTCATGAGAAGTTCATGAAATTACATCATAGCGAGGCTTTGTAGGTCCTTGGGGGTTTTCCCTTTGACTTTAGTGGCTGGTGTTTTGTGCTTTGGTGCTTTCCGTATGTTTTGACCGTTATTTTTATACTTATTTGTCCCTTGACTGGACACATTGCTCTGTAACGGGAAGAGAGTTTATCTATCCGTGTACCCATTAATTCTGTGTGTAGG